GGGGAAATGAGCGACGCTGGAGCAGTGGCGGATCCAGAGCCTGATCCCGGGAGGGGCACTTGTAGATTATTTAAAGAAATAATCCAGACACAGCTCAGTGTAGTGGTTATGGTGTCAATAGTGCCGGGACCCCCTCCTAGAGTAAGTAGTCAAATCGTTTGACAACTTACTTGAGGTCTGCTGGGAAATGAGGCAGTAGTAGGGCATAGGAGCAGTGGTGTGTGTGTGGTGCAATGTGTAAGGGGTGCAGTGTGTGTGTGTGTGTGTGTGGGGGGGGACAGTGTGTGAGCAGTGTGTGAAGGTTTTAGTGTGTGTGAGGGCGGCAGTGTATGTCAGGGATGCAGTGTATGTGTGGGACAGTGTGTGTGTGTGTAACAGTTGCAGTGTGTGTGTGTGAGGGCAATGTGTGTGTATGGGACGGCAGTGTATGGGGGCAGTATGTGTGTATGGGGAGCAGTGTGTGTATCGGGTAGTGTATGTGTATGGGGGGTAGTGTGTGTATGGGGGAAGGGCAGCGTGTGTGTATGGGGGCAGGGCAGGGTGTGTGTATGGGGGAGCAGTATGTGTGTATGGGGGGCAGTGTGTGTGCATGCGGAACAGTATATGTATGGGGAGCAGTATGTGTTTATGGAGGGGCAGTATGTGTATGGGGAAGTGTGTGTGTATGGGGGGCAGTGTGTGTGTGTATGGGAGCAGTATTTGTATGGGAGCTTGGATGTGTATGGGGGCAGTGTATGTGTGTTTGGGGGGGCAGTGTGTGTGTATGGGGGGCAGTGTGTGTGTATGGGGCAGTATGGGGCAATGTGTGTGTATGGAGGGCCATTATGGGGGCAGTGTGTGTGTGTGTAGGTATGGGGGGGGCGGTGTGTGTATGGGTGGCAATGTGTGTGTATGGGGGGCAGTATGGGGGGGCAATGTGTGTGTATGGGGGCAGTATAGGGGGCAGTGTGTGTGTATGGGGGCAGTGTATGTATGTAGAGAGTGTGTGTGATAAGGGTAATTTTTATTTAATTAAAATAAATATTTATGTCCCCCTACCTTCTTACCTTTACTGGGAGGATTGCCCCATTGCCCCCCCCCCCCGGATCCGCCACTGGCTAGAGCTCCCTGGGTCCTATCCTGCCTCCCTTCAGCCGCATTTCAATGCCTGTGGGCCGGTGAGGGAGATCTTTGATCTCCCCACCGGCCCACAAAGGCACACAGCAGGGCCAGCGCTCCGCCCACCGAGCATTTGCCCAGTATGCCCGATGGCCAGTCCGGGCTGCGATGGCTTCACAGGATCTCCCCGGCCGGCCCATGCAGGGCCCGTGCTATCTGAGCGCCGGCCCTGCTGTGTGCCTTCGTGGGCTAGTGGGAAGATCAAACATCTCCCTCACCGGCCCACAGGCACTGACATGCGGCTGGAGGGAGGCAGGAGAGGACCGTAGAGCTCAGAGAAGCATGGGCCGACCAGGGAGATCCTGTGATCTCCCCTGCCGGCCTCGGCCCATGGCCATCAAGGCCCACTGGGCATTTGCCCGGTAAGCACGATTGCCAGTCCGGGCATGTATATATGTATATACATACATATAAACAGCCCGGACTATATGTATACATAGATACATATATACATAGATTTTCTCACCCCTCCTGGGTGGTATGTTTATTCCTAATTCTCTACCAGAGGCCTGGGAGTTTGAGGGTTCTGCGCAGTATCTTAGCTGTTCCTAGAACTGCACTCTTCTATATACAGTCAGGTCCATAAATATTGGGACACTGACACAATTCTAATCTTTTTGCCTCTATACACCAACACAATGGGTTTTAAATGAAACAAACAAGATGTGCTTTAACTGCAGACTTTCAGCTTTAATTTGAGGGTATTTACATCCAAATCAGGTGAACAGTGTAGGAATTACAACAGTTTGTATATGTGCCTCCCACTTTTTAAGGGATCAAAAGTAATGGGACAGATTAACAGTCGTACATCAAACTTTCACTTTTTAATACACGGTTGCAAATCCTTTGCAGTCAATTACAGCCTGAAGTCTGGAACGCATAGACATCACCAGACGCTGGGTTTCATCCATGGTGATGCTCTGCGAGGCCTCTACTGCAACTGTCTTCAATTCCTGCTTGTTCTTGGGGCATTTTCCCTTCAGTTTTGTCTTCATCAAGTGAAATGCATGCTCAATCGGATTCAGGTCAGGTGATTGACTTGGCCATTGCATAACATTCCAATTCTTTCCCTTTGGTTGCTTTTGCAGCATGCTTCGGGTCATTGTCCATCTGCACTGTGAAGCACCGTCCAATGAGTTCTGAAGCATTTGGCTGAATATGAGCAGATAATATTTCCCGAAACACTTCAGAATTCATCCTGCTGCTTTTGTCAGCAGTCACATCATCAATAAATACAAGAGAACCAGTTCAATTGGCAGCTATACATGCCCACGTCATGACACTACCACCACCATGCTTCACTGATGAGGTGGTATGCTTTGGATCATGAACAGTTCCTTTCCTTCTACATACTCTTCTCTTCCCATCACTCTGGTACAAGTTGATCTTGGTCTCATCTGTCCATAGGATGTTGTTCCAGAACCGTGAAGGCTTTTTTAGATGTTGTTTGGCAAACTCTAATCTGGCTTTCCTGTTTTTGAGACTCACCAATGGTTTACATCTTGTGGTAAACCCTCTGTATTCACTCTGGTTAAGTCTTCTCTTGATTGTTGACTTTGACACATATACACCTACCTCCTGGAGAGTGTTTTTGATCTGGCCAACTGTTGTGAAGGGTGTTTTCTTCACCACGGAAAGAATTCTTCGGTCATCCACCACAGTTGTTTTCCGTGGTCTTCTGGGTCTTTTGGTGTTGCTGAACTCACCGGTGCATTCTTTCTTTTCAAGGATGTTCCAAACAGTTGATTTGGCCACACCGAATGTTTTTGCTATCTCTCTGATGGGTTTGTTTTGTTTTTTCAGCCTAATGATGGCTTGCTTCACTGATAGTGATAGCTCTTTGGATCTCATATTGAGAGTTGACAGCAACAGATTCCAAATGCAAATAGCACACTTGAAATTAACTCTGGACCTTTTATCTGCTCCTTGTAAATTGGATAATGAGGAAATAACACACACCTGGTCATGGAACAGCTGAGCAGCCAATTGTCCCATTACTTTTGGCACATATAGAAACTGTTGTAATTCCTACACCGTTCACCTGATTTGGATGTAAATACCCTCAAATTAAAGCTGAAAGTCTGCAGTTAATGCACATCTTGTTCATTTCATTTCAAATCCATTGTGTTGGTGTACAGAGGCAAAAATATTAGAATTGTGTTGATGTCCCAATATTTATGGACCTGATTTAATATACCAGGAAACGTTTAGACTGAGTGCTTATATAATGTATCAAAGAAAAGCAATAAGTTTGTCAATTTAATGTTAAAAAATATATTTTAAAACAAATCCTTTTTCTCATATACCAGTCAATACTGGTTAATCCTGCTTTGTATAAAAAAAGGCATTGTCCAGGCTTTGTTTATAAGTATAAAGGTAATTTAGGTCACAAGCTAATTTGAATCATTGGGGTTTATTTATTAAAGAGTAGGTTCCAGAGACTTGTAAACCAACTTGCACATGGTTTAGATTGTAAACTCATTTGGGCAAGGCCTTCTTCACCTACTGTTCACGTATGTCAGAATACATTATTTCTCTTGTTTACCTATTGTACAGCGTTGCAGAATATATTGCGTCTATAGAATTAATTGCAACTGTAAAATGTTTCGGCAAATATGCTTCTTGATTGTTCTGAATAATATTTTTTTTTCATTGGGGTTATGTTCGTCTATATCATGCAAGTCTCACCACAACGCACTGTTTTGTCAATAAATCCCATGTGTCTTCATGGTATGTCTGAGACTTTAGGATATCCTTTACACATGCTGGTGTTAAAGCCAGGGTTTTTCCCTATGGCTTCCTGATAAGAAAGCACTTATTGCAATAAAGAATCCAGTGTCATCATTAGATCAGTTTCCAACATGAAGAAGGTAACTGTAGATTCTGAGAATGTTGCCACTGACCTGAGATTATGAGTAAAGACTAGGATCCAGGAACAGATCCTGAAAGTTCCCAGGTATACATATGTCTCGCCTTGACCTACGTGACCCTAGGTCCTCAACAAACTTGGCCACCTGCCTCAATTTTTCAAACACAATCCTAAGCGACAATTCCTTGTGCTAAGTCAACAACGGTCACATTTCTGCTATCTGCACACCTTCAATCACTTATTTTCTGATTCTCCTACCTACCCCA